GGTGAACCCCATGCAAATGAAATAGAAAAGTCCCAGTAATGTTAATATTCTGGCTAAAGGAGCTCTTGTTGCCTGATGCAGGAAAAGTAATAATTTGGCTAAAAAGGCAAAAAAAAAAAAAGAGAGAGAGAGAGAGAGAAAGAGAAAGAGAAAGAGAAAGAGAAAGAGGTCTAGAAAAAAAGTTGGGTAGGGCAGGGGCCCTGTGAAGGGAGGGAGGAGGAGAGTCCTCCCACCCGCCCCCTCCCCCATGCACCTGGCGAAGCCTCTGCCCTCAAGGGACCACTCCTTCCCTGGCCAGCTGGTGTTTTCCCATCCGCCCCAGGCCTGGCCCCAGGCCACAGACATGCTCAGGAGTGATGTCTATCCTGAAAAGATCTCTGCAGATGCTATTTTGATAAAACTCTAATCCTTCCTCCACCCCTTCTCCCCCTTAACCTCTCCACCTCTAGCCCAGGCCTTTGTGTGTTTATGTGCCTGTGTGTTTGGGGAAGGGAGGTAGGATGGAGGGCAGGGTGGCTTACTAACCAGCAAACACAGGCTCTGGTTACATGGAGTGGATTAATGCAGGGAAGTGACTGCTTGGTCCCAGCTAGTGGAGCCAGGTAGACACTGTAGAGAGAGGTTTCCTTATCAGGATTTTTCAGTCCTCCGGAAACATAACATGACAAGGGGGGTTGGATGGAACACGGCTGTTAACGCATCAAGTGTTCCCCTCCATAGAGAGATTTCATTTTAACTTCCTTTCCTTTCCCCATTCCCTATAGAGTTGCCAGATAAAATACAGCATTCGGAGTTAAATTTGTATTGCAGATAAACAATAATGCATGGAACATACTTCTAAATCTATCTAAATAAATATGAATATAAATATGTATATTAAGAAACTCTTACTGCCTACCGCTCTTCCCATCCCCTGGCAAACCCCACTCATTCACTCACTCTTGGAGCTTTTAAAAGTCTAGGTGAAGGGGCTCCTTGTAGAAGGACAATCCAAAAGATAAATAAAGCAAAATTCCTTTGGCAGGTCTCTCAATTCTAGCTTTCCAGGGGAGCTGTCCATTCTGAGGAGGTGATGGTCCTTTCTCACCCCCAACAGCAGAGCTAAGGGAAAAGCTGGGGTAGATGAGATATGGGGCTCCCACACTCCGCATCAACAGGACTAAAGGGCTGGAGCCAGAAATACCCATAGAAGCTAACATGTAGAGAAGAACAAGCAATAGACCCAGACTGGCCAAGTGCACAAGGACTCCAGATAGCCCGTGGCTAACAGCCCAAGTGAGGCAACTACAAACTTCTTTGACCTTCAGTCTTTTCACCTACAAAATAGGAAGCATTCATGTACCTCACTCACAACCTGGGCTTGTGGTGACGATTAAGTGAGATAATGTGATGCATCAGCATAGCACAGGGCACGTGGAACTAAGCTCTGACATTCCTTGGCATTTACTAATAATAACTTTTTGGTTGGACTTTTTTTTTTTTTTTTCTAATTGTCACTAGAGGTAACAATGAATCCATCTAGGACCATTCACTCTTAAGTAGAAGTAATATTCAATTCTTTACAAAAAGTGTCAAAATTTTAATCAACTATAGACTGATTTTTCTTCTATTTTTTCAATAAACATGTGTTACCTGCTATGGTCCAAAAATAGTTGGAGCAATGGAAAAATAGGCATGAGCACCATCAGTACTTCTTTACTTGTTTTTTTATCAAGGATCCGGGACTCCAATGGAAGGTGAATTAGAATCCACTGGCACTTTTTCCTTAGCACTAGGTGGTTAATCTTGCAGATCATTTGTTGTCAGCAATTATTCACCAGTAATCGCAACACAATTAAGTTCACAGTTGTAACCGTTGTAGTATGCTGAGTGATAGCCCTGTGCCCATGTCCACATCCTAATCACAGAACTCGTGAATATGTTATTTTACAAGACAAAAGGGACTTTGTAACATGTGATTAAGTTACAGATTTCAGATTGAGATATCCTGGATTAGCCAGGTGAGCCCATTGTAATCACAAAGGTTTTAGAAGAGAAGGGCAGGGGGGCACCTGGGTGGCTCAGATGGTTAAGCGTCTGCCTTCGGCTCAGGTCATGATCTCAGGGTCCTGGGATCGAGTCCCGCGTCGGGCTCCCTGCTCCTCGGGAGCCTGCTTCTCCCTCTGCCTCTCTCTCTCTCTGTCATGAATAAATAAATAAAATCTTTAAAAAAAAAAAAAAGAAGAGAAGGGCAGGATGATCAGAGTCAGAAAGTGATGTGATGATAGAAATAGAGAGACAGAGAGAAATAGATCAGGAGATGCTGGGTGGTTGGCTTTCAAGATGGAGGATGATGCCCTGAGTCCAAGCCATTAGAAACTAGATGAAGCAGAGAAACAAATTCTTCCTTGGAGCCTCCAAAAGGAATATGGCCCTGCTGACACCTTGATTTTAGGACTTTTGACCCCCAGAACCATGAGAGAACAAAACTGGGTCATCTTAAGCCATTGAATTTGTGGTAACTTGTTACAGCAGCAACAGGAAATCAATATAGTGGCAAAAAGAGAAATAGAAAATTGTGATTTATTGAATTTCATGGAGGGTAATACTAAAATATAAGAATTAGAAGAAACAGAAAAGATGAGTGTGTGCCAAGGGTGCTTAGTAAACACCAAGGAGAACACATTACTCCCCCAAGAAGTATAGGTTGAAATACAGTTTCTTAGAATTTACTTAAGTCCACAGGTGTCAAGCTCAGGTAGAACAGCAGGGACAATAGCCCTATGGCCTTACCCAATTCCGTGGTGATGGTGAAGTCTCAGATGAAAAGTTGATGCTCAAATATGGCACATTAGTCCACATGCCCCAGGATCTGTGCCAGCAGCAAGAGATACAACCCCCCAAAGTAGTCATCCTGCTCACCTCCTGCATAGATAGGAGGAGGGAAGTCACGTGGTTGAACATGAGGTTGGATTGGTGGCAAGGGCAGGGTGTCTCAAGAGGCCATTGGAACAGGTTGTAGGATGAATCTCAAGGTTCCTGTTGTCAGCCTTTGAGGCTACTTTTGCTGCCTGAAAACTTGGGGGAGTCCCTCTTGAGGGCTCAGCCCTGGGTACCTGACCTCCAACTCCTCCTGGCTCCCACTCAAGTCCCTACATTCATCATGAATGCCACAAATAATTTTACTGCAACACAAAGAGATTTACAGGGGTGCAGACTATGCCCAAGTCACAGCCCCAGGTGTGCAGAAGGTTCCAGCATAACAGATGAGTCTCTTCAGAAATCACTCTGTATGCTAATTTTCTCCACCTCATCCCCACATTCTAAACCTTTCAGGGTTCATGCCTGGCCAGTCAAGAAAGCTTTTCCTCGCTTCCTTCAGCTGTTATCTTTAGTCCAAAGCAAACGATTCTTAACTCCCTGGCCATTTTGAGTCCAGAGATTCTTGTCAGTTCCCTTCTTTCAAATTCCTAGTACCCACTACACTCTGAAAAACGAGAGAACTCCAGGCCAGCGTCCCTGAGAGAGGACATTCCTGGAGCAACCTTGGTCTCCAGCTATCACACACAGACAGTGACATCCTTCTCTCTACCATCGACTTGTCTTCCCCTTAGCTAGCACAGTCCTCCTGTCCCTGCTGTCACTCATTGTTCTCTCCTCCCCTCAGTGCCCTTCCACAGAATCTCGCTGTCTTTGATCTAATGGTCTGACTCAAAGTCATGCTTACTGCCAGCCACAACCTGGATGGAGAGATGGAGCCTTGAAAGGATCACAGAAAAGGTGTTCCAAATCCACCTACAGAGACACATCCCTTCTGTTCTCCACCTAATCCCCACATTCTAAACCTTTCAGGGTTTGTGCCTGGCCAGTCAAGAAAGCTCCTTTGATCCAAGCTCCTTTTTAACCAGCAACTTTTAATATTTATCTCCTAGGCAATTAATATACACAAGCTAATGGAGACGATCTGATCACCAAGGAGACCCCATCCTTACAGTGTTGTATACTCCTTCTGAGTATTTCAGTACCATCTATTTATTCATGCTTCCATTCATCCAGCAAACGTGTAGTACGGAGGTCCTACAATGCAGCAATCATCTGAAGTAGCCATTAGTGATGTGCATACACGCCTCCGTTACCAGTGAGGAGATAACGAGCCCATGAGTGTCAAAGACACAAATGCCATCATGCCCTTTCATACCTCCCAGCTTCACTCACATCCTTCTGTCTGCCTGGAATGTCTTTTTTTTTCCCTTCAGCACACAAGAACTCTAATTTGTCTTTCCCAGATTCCCATGGCCAAAGTCCTTTGACCTCTTCCGTACTCCACTGCACCTGGTTCCACCCAGACTGCACTGTTTGTACTGGAGGTAGCTGTGCTTATGTACCTGACCCTCCTACCGTAAGTTCCTGGAGGGCAGAGGCCATATTGGATTAAATGTTGGATCCCCAGTCACTGGTGTAGTGCCTGATACACCGGGGCTTCATAAATATTTGCTAAACTTTTAGCAAAAGGAATTTTTTCCCTCATGGAGTCACTTAATATAAGTTGTGTGTGTGCATGAATCTGTGTGTGCATGAGTCTGTGTGTATGTGTGTGTGTGTGTGTATAAATCTGCAACTTACTAGCTATATGTCCTTGGGCATGTTACTTCTCTGGGCTTCAGATTATAATGGAAAATAATACCTCTTCATTAAACTGTTCGGGCAAATGAGAAGAAGATGCCCCTAAGTGCTCAGAAAAGCTCCTGATGCATCTACCCTCTCAAAAAATACTATGATAACAGTAATAGTCATAATTCATATGCTAATATATTTTATTCTCTTAACCCTAGACACTTTATTAAAAGTTAAAAATAAACAAGGCTCTTGCCCTGAGGGAACATAAAGTCTATTTCTCCATGTCTGCTTGCGTTTCCTATCGTACTGTAAAAGAGGTACTCTAAAAACAAAATATGCAGGGCTGCTTGTTTCTGTGGGGCTGGGTGGGACTGGCAAAGGCAGCTGGGAACCATGGCAATGTGGGAACTGTGAAGGAACCTGTCTGACCATGGAGGATGAGTAGGAGACTGTGACAATGGCCTGGGGCCGAGGATTGCTGAGATCCTGGTTCAAAGCAAGTGGTTTCCATTTTAAAGGAAAAGTAAGTTCTGCTCTTCTTATTTGTAAATTTCCTGGGACAACTTTCCCTCCTTTCCCTCCTCTCTCTCTGGGTCAAAGGTTTAGTAGACGTGGACTCTGGACTCTAAAAAGGCTACCGTTTGTCCTATACCTGTCTATATGCTGAGGGAGCGCTGGGAGGTAACAGGAGGCTCGAGGCTGTGAAGTGCTCCGTGCAACTGCCCAAGCTGTCCTGGGCCTGGGGGGCTCATGCCCCCCCAGCCTGCCCCCTGCCTGCCTGTCATTGACAGGCTTGCCCCTGTGAGCAATCCCACTGATCCCCCGGGGGTCCTGGCCTCTCCATGCCCCAGCCCCGGTGCCTGGGATAAGATTGCAGGGCCTCTGCCATGGACAGCTTATGGAGGCAGTGGAGATGGGGTCAGAGAGCACAGAAGAAAGAAGTACAAGCGGGGCAAGAGAAGGAGGGGAAAAGAGGAATTGATGGAAGGCCACAGAGGGTGCTTTTGAGAGAAAGCTCCCCCATCAGCCCTCATTCCTTGGAGACTTTCTATTTAGTCAAAACAGAAATTTGGTTCCAAGGGAGTGCAGGAAATCTGTGGTTGTCAAAGAAAAAAAAAAAAAAACTGAAGCAACTTTCCCATCGCTCTCTCCCTTCTTTTTCTCCCCACCATGGGATAAAATTTCAGTCCAAGTGCTTCTCAGTATGAAACAGGCTGATGGCCCTGATGAATATCTGCTGCTTCCAAAGGAAACTCTCCCTGCCTGTGTGAAGCCATTAACATTGAGAATCAAGGTCACTCTGCTTGCACCCAAGGGAGGCTTTGCTGCTTTTCACACACCTGGCTGAGAGCACAGCCCTGCCGGCTGAGCCACCGCGGTCCTCAGCCTCCTGCTGCGGTTTGTTCATTACACCCAGTGGACAGCGGTCGTGGGAAACTGCAGCAGGAGGGCTATCATTGGGTTAGACAAGAGGACACAACTCCAGCCAGAAGGGTTACAAGCCCCTGGAGCCCTCCTGCTGGGAGTGAGGACGTGTAGGAGGAAAAGTATACACGGGGGAGTCATTCACACCCGCCGTGGAGTCTTCCCCAGCAATTGGTGTGCCCCCTCTTTGTTCTCAGTTTCTTTAACTGTAAAATGGGGAAAATCAGCCTATGCGGAAAGGTTTTGATCACAGTCATTCGGGTTAAACGCAGCAGACTAAATGCACGTGCTTACTCTCAAAACCTCACTAACACGAGAGTAAAGGCACAAAGGAATGGAAGAAGCAACACAGAGGATGAGAGGCATCCAGAACATGCTCGTAGATGGAAGACCCATGGAGGGGAAACATCTAACTCAGCAAAAAGTTCATGGGATGGACTGTGGGAAGGAAGCCAATGAGAGACAAATCCATGGCTCTGAGATTTGGGGACCAGGGAAGGGAAGGGTGAAGCATGGAACTGAAAACAACAATGGCTCAGAAGCCCATGAGAAAAGAACAAACTCCAGGTTCCCTCCTCCACCCCACGCAGCAGGGCAACTACCTCTCCAAAGAGGACATGGCAGAGGCTCAGAGTTGGAGTAACATTCTGCATATCCCCACCCCCCAGCTCCCACAGCCCCCTGCCCCCGTCCCTTTACCTCTGGAGCTCTGGCCCACAGCAAGCCAGGTATTTACATCCCATGCAATATGTGGGAGAATTATCTGAAAAACTGAATGGACCCAGAGAAGAGGTATACACCTGCTGGCATTTGGGGGTCCCCAATGGAAACTCCAGCTCATGGTCTAATCACCACAAACTCTAGGACCCAGGCAAGTAAAATCCAGCAATCAAAAAGCCCTGCTGTAAAACACAATTCCAACCAGTTTTTCTTACATTGTAAAGTATAACGTACATGAAAAAAAGCACATATAAGGTGCATATACAGTTAAAATAATCGTATTAAAAGCACCTGCATGTCCCACTCACCTTAGGAAATAGATCCTCCCCCACAACTCTGAACCCCATATGTGTTCCTGCCCTACTGTATCCCTATCCATCTCAAAGCAACCACTCCGCCAGATTTTGTTTTCATCATCTTCTTTGCTTTCCTTTGTAACTTTACCACACATGTATGTATCTCTAAACAATCTACTGTTTAGTTTTTTCCTGCTTTTGAACTTTACATAAATGGTGTCATACTGCATTTATTCTAGAGCTTGCTTTGTTTGCCCACTGTTAGGCTTTTGAGGTTCATCCACATTGAAATGTGTATGAAAATTTATCTTTTCATTGATGTATAGAATTACATTATAAGAAAAATCCTGTAATTTTTGTATCCATTCTCTTTGGGGTGGATTTCTGGTTGTTTCCAGGCTTAGGTTATTGTGAACAGTGATGCCCTGGCCCATTTTGTACAACGTTCCTACGAAGTCTGTGCTGCAGATTCCTTAAAGTGTGTATGTGGAGGCGAGCTAGACGGGGCATAAATTTTATTCATTTTCAACTTTCCTGGATAATGTAAAATAATTCCCCTGGTGGGTCTGACCAACTTACACTCCACCAGCTACATGAGAATTTCCTGAGCTCCATATTCTCACCACCATTTGGTATTACCAGTTTCATTTCTGCCAATCTGGAGGATATAAAGTATGCCATTTTGGTACTAATCTGCATTTCTCTGATTACGAGTGAGGTTGCACGTTATTTCAAATATTTATAGGTCATACATACATCCTCTTTAGTGAAATGACCATTCATTTTATTTTTTTAAGGAAGAGATTTTATTTTCTTCTGTAAACTCTATCCCTTGTGTGGGGCTCAAATTCATGACCCCAAGATCAAGAGTCATGGGATCTACCAACTGAGCCAGCCAGGCACCCCTGCTCATTCATTTTATTTGCCCATCTTAAAAAGTGCATCGTTAGTCATTTTCTTACAGTTCTTTATATATTCTAAATACAAATCTATTGTTAGATGAATTGAAAACATCTATCCAGTCCCTAAATCCACAAAGCCCGTGGTGAACATAAAACACTTTCCTGTTCGACCTTTGTGAGTTAAGCTTTGTCTTTACATGCCTGCTTATCTCCAATGCTGTCCATGTCAGGACTGCATTGCAGGTGGCAAGAGCCCCATTTGCCTTTGCCCTCTGGCAATGATGTGAGGGCAACTCTGTGAGATGAGATTATTCGACAAAAGCTTTGTGCTGGGAACATGGACGAGGTGATGGTGACCCACACTGGGGCACGCTAATCTGCAGGCAATCCTCCCTGACATGGCTTCATCCATTCAGATGTGTATATATAAACAGGCCTCTCTCTGCATCATAATTTTCCATGGGTGGTAGACTTACCACTATCTGTTGATCTCAATTTTCCAGACTCTTTCTGTCCCTAGAACCACAAATAGTAGATATTACTGTACAAAGTACCTTATAGAAATCAAAGCTTTTGCACAATTCAGAGGTCAGGGAAGTATGGATGGGAAGAGCGTGGTAGCCAGCCTCTCTCTGTCTTGCAATCATGTGTACACAGAAGGTGCCAAACAAATATTTAAATATTTCAATTAGAAATTTAAAAAATGAAGTCATTAATCTCTTTCCCTCCTACAGGAAAAGTGCTAATCAAATTATAAACTCTTTAAGGTAAGAATGATTAATAGCATTTTAGGAATGAAGGATTGAAAAGTGCCTAACGCAGTGGTTCTCAAAGTACAGTGCCTGGACCAGGAACATCAGCATCACGTGGAAAGCTTTGGAAATGTAGAATCTTGGGGCCCACTCAGATTTACTGCATCAGAAACTCTGGGTTTTAACAAGCCCTCCAAGTAGCTCTAATACTTGCTAAAGTATGAGAATCACTGATCTAAAGTAATCTGGCTTCCTTTCTGGTAGATGAGCAAGCTGAGGGCAGAAAAGAGAGACAAGTCAAGGCTACTCAGCCAGGAAACAGTGGGCCTCAGAAGCAGAGCACAAATTTATGCAGAGCAAACTCTATTTTATGACTTGGTCTTCTGTCTACTGATCCCTGCCCACACACTTTCACCTTCCGCCATGTTCCTAGAAGAACTATCTTGTGCCTAACTGGTTGTGTCCGTCTGTTAGTGAGGGTAGCTAACAAGCCAAGCTCAGGGATTTGATCTCCAATTGGAACTACTTTCCCTTTCTATTCTATGACCACAAATGATACCCCTACCCCAGTCAGCCATACTACAAATACATTCTTTGGCCAAGAGGAAGAGCAGGTGTAAAAGTATGGAAGACTTAGTGAAAATTCCATCACTTCTACTGGGGAGATGAGAGAAATACGTTCCATGTGTTGGTCCTGTGACACCATCTTTGTACAGGAGGAGTGACATTGTGCATTCACCCCACGTAAAACAGCGTGTGTATTAATCCAGGACATCACACCAGTAACCCACTTCTGGTCCTCAGCCAGAAATGCTTTATACATTGCCAGTCTACCTCCTAAACTATAAGCTTTCATGGATCAGCAACATTTCCAAAAATTCTGGAGGACAGATACGTGATTTCCCTCTTTCATTTTATCAAATAAATATATAGACACAAAAATAGTAATTACTACCATGACTGTTCTTACCATCTAATGCTCCATCCTTTCTTATGACCCCAAAAGGGTGCAGCACCTCAGAATGAAGATGATATTTTCCAAGAAATAAGAATTCATGAACTCATATTATGTTGTCCACATTTTTATCATTTCTCTTCTGGCCTATGAAAAGATTTTGCATGGGATGACATGGATCAGGGTTTGGGAGCCACTTTTCCTTTAAGCAAAAAGCCATCTGCACAGCCTGGCTTAGGTCCCCTCGGGACTCCCACAGCACCCTGTGCCTTTCTCAATGGTTGTCCTTTTCATATTCATTTATAGTTACCTGCTTATCAGTATATTTGTCCTACTGTAGTGCAAGTTCTAGAAAACAAGAATTGGGAGTATTTCAGTATTTGATTTTGTTCCTTTGGCACTTGTCTGGCCCATGAGAATGAGGCAAGAAATAATTATGGAAGGGGGGCAAAGGAAGGAAGTTAGGAAGACAG